CACAGGATGACGACACGGGGCGGGGAGGACACGGCCATGACACGGGGAGGACACGGGATGACGACACGGGGCGGGGAGGACACGGGATGATGACACGGGGCGGAGAGGACACGGCCATGACACGGGGCAGAGAGGACACGGGATGACGACATGGGGCGGGGAGGACACGGGACGACGACATGGGGCGGAGAGGACATGGCCATGACACGGGGCGGGGAGGACACGGGATGACGACACGGGGTGGGGAGGACACAGCGATGACACGGGGCAGAGAGGACACGGCGATGACACGGGGCGGGGAGGACACGGCGATGACACGGGGCGGGGAGGACACGGGACAATGACACGGGGTGGAGAGGACACGGCCATGACACGGGGCGGGGAGGACACGGGATGACGACACGGGGTGGGGAGGTCAGGTAATGACACAGGCAGGAAGGGCCCCCTTCCCAACCCTCCCATGTGTGGACACATAAAGACACATGAGAACACCAACCCAGAGATGTGACTCCCACGTGCCCATAGCAAGTGTTGTTCACACAGGAACCAAGCCCCTTTCCAGCCCAACACGGGATGCGGGCATGGGACATAGGACATGGCATGGAACATGGGGTGCAGGGCATGGGACACGAGTCCAGGTCCCTCACGTGGCTCGGACATCCTGTCCCCGGACCCCACACAGCCACGCCCTCACCTCGCCCTGCAGGTAGAAGTCGATAAGCGTCTTCATGTTCTGGAGATTTCTATCAAACTCATCAGGGGGCTCTTGACCAAAGAAACCTTCGTGGGGTGGAGGGGCCAGGAGCCTAGGGAGATCAGAGAAAGTGACCCCGACGTCGGCCTGGAGCGGGGGACCCTGTGCACCTGGCTGGGCTCCCAGGTCCTGTGGGGCCAGGCCGACCCACACTCCAGCATGCATGTCTGCACACACTCGCCACACAGAGACCTGGGGAGCAGGAATACCAGGGAGCCATGGGGGCGGGACACAGACCACGGAGGAAAGTTCTAGAACTGACTTCTGTCTGTCCGAGCTGACTGTCAGCCCAGGCCAACACTGGGGAGGGAACCAACCACCAGACTGTCCCCAGTCGCTGCACCTCAAACCCCCAGAGAAGCCGAGAATGGGGAACTTTACCTGAACGCAGACCCGTTAGTGAGGGCAAGACAGCCAGATGGCCCAGGAGGGGCCCTCAGGAGCAGAGAGCTTCAAGGGGCCTCAGGGGGCCTCAGGGGGGCCTCAGGGACCTCAGGGGACCTCAGGGGCAGGGGCTTCAGGGGACTCGGAGGATTTCAGCAGGCTTCAGAGGACCTGAGAGGGCCTTAGGTGACCTCAGGGACCTCAGGAGCAGGGGGCTTCATGGGGCCTCAAGGGCCCTCAGGAGACCCTCAGGGGGCCTCAAGGGACCTCAGGGGCAGGGGCCTTCAGGGGCAGGAGGCTTCAGGGGACTCAGAGGATCTCAGGGGGCTTCAGAGGACCTGAGAGGGCCTTAGGGGACCTCAGGAGCAGGGGACTTCATGGGGCCTCAGGGGCCTCAGGGGACCTCAGAGGATCTCAGGGGGCTTCAGGGGACCTCAGGCTCATGGGGCTTCAGGAGACCCCCCAGAGGACCTCAGGGTCATGGGGCTTCAGGGGACTCAGAGGATCTCAGGAGGGCCTCAGGGGACCTCAGGGATCTCAGAGGGCCTCAAGGGACCTGAGGAGACTTCAAGGACCCTCAGGGGACCTCAGGAGCAGGGGGCTTCAGGGGGCCTCAGGGGCCCTCAGGAGACCCTCAGGGGGCCTCAGGGGGCCTCAGGGACCTCAGGGGCACGGGGCTTCAGGGGACTCAGAGGATCTCAGGGGACTTCAGGGGCATGGGGCCTCAGGGGACTCAGAGGATCTCAGGGGGCTTCAGAGGACCTCAGAGGGCCTTAGGGGATCTCAGGGGCAGGGGGCCACCACCACCTCCTCAAATCAATCCACATGTGGACATGCCTGTAACACAGATCAAGTCAGTCTGCTCCCAGTCACACGCTTACCAGACTCTGGGTCAGCATGTCCTTCCAAGTGGTGCTCGTGTCCATCCTGTTCTGTCCCTCAGGGCCCAACACCTGCCGTCCTATACAACCCCCTGGTCATGGGCCCTGCTGTTCTTGGGGGTCCTGGGGCCTCCTCCTGCCCCCCACCCTCCATGTGCACATCTGCAGCTGGTGGGATGTGGGACACGGGACATGGGACCCCACTTCCAACATCAGTGACATCACAGCCCTGGAGACCCCATCAGGGGCCCCAGGGTGGCCAGGCACCCGCCTTACCTCTTACAGATGAGCTCGCCCGCGGCTGTCGCCATGGGCCTGTAGGCCGCGTACACAAACTGGAACAGGAAGACGTATTCCATGGCGGAGAACACGCCCACGTAGTGCCTGGGGGGAGATACTCGTGAGCCCAGGGCCCCTGCACACGGGGCTTTTCCACACAGAGCTGTGCACACGGGGCTTTGCCACACGGAGCTGTGCACACGGGACTTTGCCACACGGAGCTGTGCGCACGGGGCTTTGCCACACGGAGCTGTGCGCACGGGGCTTGGCCACACATGCCCGTCCCCAAGAGTAAACGGAGATTCTTTGTTGGGCCGATGGCCCCAACCTCGGCTTCCCCTAGATGCGGCCCCCTCAAATTCCGACCAGTCTGAGCTCACCCAGGGCAGCACACGTCCCAGGATTTGAGCTGAGCCCACATGAGAAGATGCCACGTGAGCTGAGGCCAGGTGAGCAGGATCCCGGGAAGGCCTGCCCTCCACAGGGCCTCCAGGGTTAGAGTTGGTTCCTTCCCCTCTAGCCACCCGTGAGCCCCAAATTAGGGGAAAAGCACTCTGTCCTCTCCCGCGTGTGCACCTGGGGCACCTGTCAGCCCAACCCTGCCCAACCCTCCACCCCCAGGAGCAGCGCTCCTGACTCCAAGCAGGTGGCCATGCAGGGGCACACAGGAGGGGCAGCAGATGTCCATGGGCACCCATGGTGGGAGCAGTAGGGGGATTTGGGTGAGGGACACCACTGACAGCATGTGGGGGGACATCACCAGCATGACCCTTTGTCCAAATGCATCCACTGTGTCCACGTGTGACAGAGCATCCACATCACAATGGAGCAATCTGCCAACGTGGCCACGTGGGCATCCCCAAAACCAGCAGAAACCAGGGCAGGTGGCCTACGTGCCACCCTGCCTGGGGTTCGAATGAAGGTGGGAGACCCCCAAGGACGTGGGGAGGCCCCAGATAAGTGAGTAGGACACCTGCATTCACGCTCGGCCACTGCACATGGCAAGGAGCATATCCGGCGGGTCCACGTCAGCCCTGTCCAGGCCTCAAGCCCCAAAGCCACACAGTTCTGCGCCCACCTGGGGACTCAGGCCAAGGTGTGGCCCCAGGACCTGGCGCTTCGCTGCACAAGGCCCACGAGGTGCTGGCAGAGATGTAGCCGCGAGGCATGGGAGCAGGACAGCCAAGAGGATGGGTGTTCCGCTGGGAGTCAGGCCCGGCGAACACGCACTTCCTCCCCCTGGTGTCATACGGGCCTTCAACAGATTAGACAAGGCCCACCCCACCGGGCAGGATGATGTGCTGTGCCCGCATGTCAGTCTACGCAGGGAACTCCTCACAGACTCTCCAGAATCACGGGTAAGCTGCGCCCCACCCCCACTGTGAGCAGTCAGGTTGACACAAGGCTTCAACTGTTGTCACTTCCTTACAAAAGTGGGCAACTGCCGACCTCCGGCCCATCTCAGACCCTCAGCGATGGGAGGGAGCCACTCGCGCGCTGGGCACCTTAAGTCAAGGAGCCCGCTCCGCGTGATCCACGGCCACCTGCCACGGTCCAGGCCCATCCACTCGGCCGCCCATGAGCCTCACCGTGGGCTGCAGCCAGCTGGCAGACACACGTCCTGGGACGTCCCCACCTCTGTCATCCTGAGCCAACGCCCACAACGAGCCTGCTTCTAGATGCGCGTGTCCACACGCCTCCTGGTGGGTCCGTCTCTCCGGAGGGCCCCGACGGACACAGCCGCCATGGGAACACCAGTGAGCAGGACATGCAGCTACCCTGGGCCACCCAGCCTGCACAGGGCAGGAGGCAGAGGCCACGACCCCAGGCTGGAGGGGCCCCCACAGCCAGGCCCACAGCGCCCCTGGGGACACGGCATCTGCAGGACACAGATCTCAGACAGGGCCGCTCAGAGCCCAAGCACGTGACACAGAGCGAAGCCGCCTCAGAACGTGGTCTGCGCACAGCGGAGACCCCGCGTGGGCGTGAGACACCTGGTGGTCGCGGCACCATGTCCACGGCAACCCTGCGGCCCGGGACCCAAATCCTCCATCCGGTTCTTCCAGCACCTTCTCGCTCCACGTGCGAGCATGCTCCCTCCTGCCACCAACTCCAGGTGCGTCCTGGGGTCCGCTGGGGGTGGCAGCCGGAGGACTAGATGGGGACCTCACGGCCCTGCCCAGGTGTCTTGTACTCATGTGTCAGGAGCCACACAGGTAAGAGCTTCTCTGTGTTGTTGTCAAGGGGCTCACGGCCCCGAGTGCACCCTGCACAGTGCTCGGGACAGTGGTGGGCACCAAGGCCCCAGTAGACACACATTCCCGCACCTGGTCCCCAACCCGGGTCACGGTGCCTGTGTGCACTCTGTCCAGACGGCTCCGTTTTATAATATGTTAACTTATCACCCACCCACTGCTCCTGGCTGTGGGCATCGGGCCAGCTGCCAGCAGCACCGGCCACTCACGGGACCACAGCACAGCACGGAGGAAGCCTGGAGCCCGGTCCCCAGCTGCAACAGTGTCCATCTGGGCTGCGCCGGATGCAGAGCCGTGAGAGGGTCCAAAGCCCACCTGGGCCCGCTCTGTCCCCAGCACGGGGCAGACAGATGGCACCACGGGCAGGCACCCAGCCTCTGGGGTACAAGACGTCCCCACAGCACCCTCCCCAGTGTCTTCGCACAGGGGCCGAGCAGGAGGTCGTGTCCCCGTGTCCCCTATTCCAGTGCCGCCTCACATCAACATAGGACACCTGACTCACTGAGCAAGGAGGCTGCATCCTGCAGTCGGAGCACGTCCAGGGGAACAAGAGCCCTACGTCCCAGCCTAAGTGCTACTGGGACCCAGGAGTTTCCAGAACGTTCTGCAGGCCCAGCCGATCATAGCCACCTCCTAACACTAGCTCCTCGGAGCCCCTGACACAGGGCCAGCAGCTGACGGAGAGGCCGGGACCCCAGAGAGAACCCCCAAACCCCTGAGCTCCAGGACCTCTCAGGCGATCCAACGAGCCCCTGCGGTTGATCGCGAGCAAGGATGTCGGCGGCATAGTTCCGAAACCCAGCAGGAGCGCAAGCATACCCGAACACGAGAGCGGACGCTTGGCGTGCCTTCCTTAGCCGAACACGCGCCTTTGCCCGCATGACCACACCCCCCCACTGTCCGCCTCCAGCACACGTGGTGGCACACGTGCCCTCCCGCCCCCAGCCAGTGGACACGCGCACGGGCGTGAGTACTTACACCCCGCGGGCCCGGGGCACGGGCGCAGGGACCTCCAGCCGGCGTGCACGCCGCACGTGCGTACTTACAGCCGGCGAGCGC